TACTACACTTGATTAGACAAATACAGTGTTCAATAAACACTTTCCTCAATTGACTTACGCGAATCGCATGGTAAACTTCTTTAACTCCTAACTCTGAACCTCTCTCGACTGCTAGCCTAATGTAATTAATCAAGGAGTTGACAAAATGGCATTGATTGTCAGTGAGAAGCGCATGGTTAAAGTTCACTTCTTCATAAGATGTATTGGTTTTGTTCGGGACTAGAGTCACTCAAAGTCCATAACGGTCAGTTTTATACGAGTATTTGATCTTGAAAGCTGCTCTTCAATTGCTCGTATCGTGTTACGGTGTTCGAAAATCACCAGGCCTATCAATCGGATACCAAACAAACTGTCATTAGGATTGAGAGACCAATGACCTGATAAGTATTAGATTGATTTGTACTTTAGCATTAGATTAACTAATCAAGACAGACACCATCACTTGATCTGGGCAAAAAGACGGCATGAAGTGAAAGTTGAAGGAGGTTGACCATGCACTTCGCTTACGAACAATTGAAAAGTTTGACCATGCACTTCCCGGCCACGGTAACTAAAACCCTTCGAATGTTTTGACTTATGAATATAGGCAACTATGACAATTATGGATCTAGGTTTACATTGCGATTCAATGTCAATGATATAATTCCACAAACCTACTGTCATTGGTGACGTTATGTCATAGTATTTTCGAGTTAATATTGACGAAGAAAAGTGTTCCGCCAGGAATTAAATGGACAATTAGTAAAATATGAATTCCATCAGACTTGGATTCACCATAAACTATCATTAATTGTATTCCAAATCGAAGCTTGGAGAGACAGGTCAGACATGGTTATTCAAGCCTCAAGCACCGTGATTCATGTGCAAAGTTGGTCTGCCTCTCGTACCCCATCGAGAACCACCAGGTCAACCTCTTTCCTTCAGCTTTGGCACTATTATTAGTCAGAATTTGAGACTTGTAACGACTATTCAAGAACTTGCATTGTTCCAAGTATGTAGCCAGATCTTGCGATCGAAGGTGATTGTACAGGCCACGAATCTTTGTGATATTTATCTTGTGTAGCCCCAGAGTGCCTTGACTTTAGCTCAAATATCACCCGCTATTGTCTTATAAATACAATAGTAGTATATTTATGACCTTCAAGTGCCATTCAAGTGGCCTGTCAAAACTTAAGATTGACTTGTGTGCGCAGACAGAGCAGCTGCAATAGAATCGACAAGTCCAAGGTCTCAAGCTGTCAAGAGAGTAATCATTGCGGCGGAACTTGGCTTAAGGCGTCAAAAGATCCAAGACTTGTGGCGTGAATGACACCTGCCACATTCACATCTCTATCAAACACCGCACAATCTTACTGAAGTGTGTC